CGTACTGTCATGCAAAACCTTCCCACTTACACTGATACAAGACCATCCTACAAGTTTGGGAAGACCACTTGGAAACAAATGAGGGACACTGAGATGATCATGACACTGTGTGATGGCTAAAAGCACCAGAAATGGGATAGCATGTTCACTCAAACAGCAGAAGGGAAACGTATCCCTTATTCACTCAGCAAATACTTACTGAACACCTCTTTTGCGTGTGGTACTCTGTATTGTAAGAGGAACAGGACACAGTCGGTGTCCTTAGAGGCTCATACCCTGGAAGAAATGTGAGACTAAGCCATTGTTGGAACATATGCAAGCCATTACTCATCATTTGTCCTCTACCTAAGAAACTTGTAGAAATCAAAGCATTTGTGATCTAGTGTGTAGGGTCTTTTCTTTCTCTTTCTCTTCTTCTTTTTTTCTTTAACCACTGTCAAAATAAGTATACTCATATATTATGAGGTATTCGGGCCTCCGTTTCCCTTGAAGCCTCCAAGCTTATGTAAGGCAACTAACACATTTCTGGGCTCTGATCCACAGCTTGTTCTCTAAGGGGATGCCCTTGATTGGCAGAGGTGGCTCCCAAATGTGGTTTTAAAACACAGCTACTTGTGAAAAAAATCCAGGTGATGATTTACCTTACAAGAAAAATTTTGCTGAGGAAAATAGTATTTTGAACAACAACAAAAATGACAGAAGTAGAGGATGGAAAAACTCTGTAGAAAAAGAATTCTCATATATGTTTACCACAAGACTAGCATTTGTCTTATATTTAGCTTCTTTGGACTTCAAGTCTGACAACATTAAGTAAGTAACAGAAAAGAGGTTAAGATTGGTCATAACATGTTACATTTTCTCCCTCTAAAAAGATGGGAGGAATATGTCTCCTTGTCATTAATGTACATATTATAAGATTATAGAGATATGAAACTGCTTAGCTGGATTCTCAAATTAAAAGAGATTCAACACATTTATAAACATATTTAAAGTAATGATTCTAAAAAAGATAGTTTCCCACCGATTTAAAAATTGACTTCTCCCACTAAAAACAGGTCCTAAACTAAAACGCTCCAATGGTGGCTATTATTCAGAGATTCTATAATTCTTTATTGAATTCTTTTTGTTTTCAGTATTCGAGAGATGTTTACTGTGTCTGTTGCAACCAGTGACTTGAAAGTTCAACTTAAAAATCCTTGCCATTGACTTAGTCTCTCACTGCTCTGTTCTCAGAGGAGGATTTGTTCTGTCTCCACCTTGGTTTTTTTGTTTTTTAATAGTTGTTAAAATTCACTCATTATTTCCAAGAATGGTAAACTGAGTAGTTCAGAACAACCTCCCCGCTGTGAAAAATCAGTAAAGCTGACGAGATACAGGCAAGCAAGCAAACACTAGCTATCTGAAGGTTCAGATGAGCTGATGAGACGGTGAAGCACAGAAGGGGGCAATTTCTGAGGTGCGACAGCATCTAAAGGCCATTTTCCCCAGGGGACAGTTGGCCTCACAGAGTTAGAAGCCTGACCTCAAATCATCTCAATTCCTGGTAAGAAACTAAATCAAAAATAACCAGGCTTATTAGAGAAACACATGACTGAAAACAAAGAGAAACAACAGATTATAAAGACAGAAACTAAATGCAGCCAGAAAATGGAGTTACCTGGTAGAGATTTCAAAATAAATATTTGTTGTGCTCAAAGACAGACAAGATTAATAATTTTGGCAGAGAACTAGAGAGGACAAAAAGACATCCAAACAGAATTAAGAGAACTGGGGGTGCCTGCGTGGCTCAGTGGGTTAAGCCTCTGCCTTCGGCTCAGGTCATGATTTCAGGGTCCTGGGATCGAGCCCCGCATTGGGCTTCCTGCTCTGTGGGAAGCCTGTTTCTCCCTCTCCCGCTCCCCCTGGTTGTGTTCCGTCTCTCAGTGTGTCTCTCTCTGTCAAAAAAATAAATAAATAAAATCTTTAAAAAAAAATTATGAGAACTGAAAAATACAATAAATGGGACTTAAAAACCAAATACATGTTTACCATCAGAATAGATATATAAAGAGGGAAAAGGAGAATGGAAAAGAAATCAATAGAAAATATCCAGAAGGAAACGAGGAAATACATAAGGACAAAAATTTGAAAAGCCATGAGACAGGATGCCTGCATGACTCAGTTAAGTGTTTGACTCTTGGTTTCAGCTCAGGTCATGATCTCAGGATCCTCAGATCAACCCCACATCAGGCTCCACACTGGGCATGGAGTCTGCTTGGGATTCTCTCTCTCTCCCTCTGCCCCTTCCACCCCCTGCTTGTATGCACAATTTCTCTCTCAAAAAATATAAAATAAAAATAAAATAGAAATAGAAATGGGAGAGGACCTGAATAGACATTTCTCCAAAGAAGACATCCAAATGGTCAACATACACATGAAAAGATGTTCAACATCACTGATAATCAAGGAAATGCAAATTAAAACCACAAGGAGGTATCACCTCACACCTGTCATAATGACTAGAATCAAAAAGACAAGAAATAAGTGTTGGCAAAGATGGAAAGTAAAAGAAACCCTTGTGCACTATTGGTAGGAGTGTCACTGCAGAAAACAGTATGGAGGTTTCTCAAAAAATTAAAAATAAAGATACCGTATGATCCAGTAATTGCACCCCTGAGTATTTCCCTGAAGAAAACAAAACACTAACTCAAAAAGATATATGCACCCCTAGGTTTATTGCAGCATTATTTATAATAGCTATGATATGAAAGCAACCCAACTGTCATTGACAGATGAATGTATAAAGGAGATATCGTACAAACACACACACACACACACACACACACACACAATGGAATACTACAGGCATGAAAAAGAATGAGATCTTGCCAATTGCAATGACATGGATGGCACTGGAGGATGTTAGGCTAAGTGAAATAAGTCAGACAGAGACAAATATGTATGATTTCACTTATATATAGAATCTAAAAAAAAAAACAAAACTAATTGAAAAAACAAACAAAAGCAGAAACAGACCCATAAATACAGAGAACAGGTGGGTGCCAAAGGGGAAGGGGTGGAAGGATGGGCAAAATGGGTGAAGGGGAGTGGGAGCTACAGGCCCCTTGTTGCAGGATGAGTCAGTCCGGGGCTGAAGGCGCAGCACAGGGTATACGGTCAGTGGTAGCGTGTGTGGTGACAGATGGTGGCTACACACGGGGGGAGCACAGCATAGCATATACGATTGTCAAATCACTATGTTGTACACTTAAAACTCATGTTTCAGGGAAATAAACACCGTGTGTCAACTATTCTTCGATAAAAAAACAAAATATAAAATTTTTTAAGTAATGTGACAAAATATTTTCAAAACAAAAGTTAAAACAAATGTAAGGAAGTGACATAACTAAATTTATTAACTCTTTTTTTGTTCCTGAGCCTGTCAGTTGAAGGCGTGTCTACATTATTCTGTATTTTTCCCTTTTACCCACCTGTTTTATTAGTATCCCTCGACACAGACGCTCCCTTCACTCCCCACTGGTGTAGCATTTATCACTCGAGGCATACAATCATGCTGGGAAGGGCAGGGCACACGGGGGTTCCCCCACTTCAGGGGCCCTTTAGGGCAAGAGGCTTTGTAAAAACGAAGGGACGATGCTCCCGTCCAGGACCCACATCTCCAACCAATGATCTTCCACAGACCCAGTGCAGGGTGACCCAGGCAGAAGCCAGGCGAGGTCAAATGTTTGAAATATTAACTTCCAAGTTAAACCTCATGCTTTGTGATCAGACAGTGTGAAGGATTTTTATGGTAATAAGTAATCAGTGTTAACTGGGCACTTTTTTTGGTTTAAATACAGGCATAATACCGAGAAAGAGATGAGTCGGTACACCTGTTTGCGTAAGAAAATACCCCTGGGAGGTGTGTAGTGGGTACATAATACCTGAAAGCATGGCCGTCTAAAGGAGGGATGCATATGGGCTGTCACATGAGGCACGGCACTGCGGCAGGTGCAGGGATGCTCGCGACAGCCAGAGCGCAGGACACTAGCAGCCTGGTGTCACCTACACCGCTCCCATGTGAGGGGACTGTGACACCCTCCCAGCAGATCTACTGCTACACCTGACAGGTGATTCCTTCCACCTGAGGAGTCCTGTTCTGTGCTTTTTATTTTTTTTCTGAGACAAACCAGAACACATCAATAAAGAAGTCAAAGTTTCTACCTCGTAGATTTTCATGGCATCTGTAATTTTAAACGTCTCTAACTGTAGCCAGTATAAGGAAGATGTCAGTGTTTCTCTTCCTCAGGTAGTATCTGCCCCCCATGTTTGTCGGAAGACAGGGACGCCCCAGTGCCCTTTAAGTGATGTCGTTGCTTCTTTTCAGATTGTTCCTTGTTTATCACGGCCGTTCCCCCATCATGTGGAAATCAGGTTTCCTGATTTCCACATGATGCAATGATGCTTTCTCGGCCTTGTATGAATGAGGTGTGAGATAACGAGTGGCTAATTTTAAAAATTTAAGCCATGAAGGCGGAGGCTGAAGAATCAGATAATGTTAAATCCTCCTTACGTTATTCACATAAGCGTGCTGCATGATGAGAGCCAGCGTCAAGAGCTGAAGCACAATGCCACGGGGACCTTTCACTCCGATGGCCTGAAGTCAAGCCTTCGCCAGCTCAGGTTCTCCCCTCCTACCTAGTGAATGTTTATTCGATTACAAAACAATCGTTGGCGCAACGGACACCCTTAGCTTGAGAGAAGCTGCTGGCGTTTTTATAGCAAGAACTGCTTCGGCAAAGAGGGGGCAAAGCCTGCTCTACCAGTACTAATCCTCCGTCCCGAATGTGACCCATGCTCTCAGGGTTGCTGTCAGACTTTGCCAACATTCACCCATTATTAACCTTTTAAGTAAAATACAAGCTGGACAAGCTGGACTAGTTTAAGTGACATTAACCCAGAGTTGAACGTTATGACGGAGTGGCACTGGAAAGTTTAAAACAATACTTTTACACACCAACCTTTTGAGCTTTCCCTCTTCTCTTCGATGCCTCGTGAGGTCTGGTGCGGTCCTTACAGTCTTCTAATGAGGCATCTAAAACATCATGCCTTGTTGGTCCATTTTTTACACCTGAAATCCAAGAGGATTTGAAGATTAGTTAGAACTTTACATGGACTGAATACTAATGCAACTTAAGCAAAATAAAAATTAACTTATGCATACTGGTAAGATGAAAGCGCCAGTCCTTTTAAATAAACATCACATACTTGCTCTGTGAGATCTGTTTAGGATTTCCAAGTTTATCCACTACAGTCCCCAGCAATTACTTAACTCCAAGGTCAGAAACAATGCTTGCCTGTCCAGTGATGACATACCAGCTCCACAGGAACCCATCCTTCCAGTGGGCAATGCGAGAATATGTCTGCCCATACCTTAGGCTCTACTCCATCCCCAGTTTTTAGATTTTTACATAATGATCCAAAATGAACAACAGAATAATGCATAAAAGGCAAATGGCAGCCTAGGGGACCCTCATGTCCCAGGCACAGTGAAGTGATGATGAGCCATTCCACACAACCCACCATCCACATCGTCCAACTAGTCAGTCACTGATGCTTTTGTCAACAGTGTCTAATAATCAGGGGTTACCTGCTGGAGATGCAGAGATGCACAAGCACTGATCCTACTCTTGGGGAGTTTACAACCCAATATATAATGCAGACTTCAAAAGTAAATATAATACAAGGCAAAAGTACACGTCATGCCATCAGAAACTAAAAATCATACAACATGAGAATGATTGCTTTGCAAATATTTCAGATAAAATAGGATGCTCTAATAAAACAGTTACGACTAATTTTGGAGGGTCTGATTTGAAAGTTCTAACTCTTCTTTCAAAAGTAGGATTCTGGGGGTGCCTGGGTGGCTCAGTGGGTTAAAGCCTCTGCCTTCGCCTTGGGTCATGATCCCAGGGTCCTGGAATCGAGTCCCACATTGGACTCTCTGCTCAGCGGGGAGCCTGCTTTCTCCTCTCTCTCTGCCTACCTCTCTGCCTACTTGTGACCTCTGTCAAATAAATAAATAAAATCTTGAAGAAAAAAAAAGTAGGATTCTGGTTAAGTGAAAACAAAATGCACAACAATGGTTAAATATTTTCTTGAATTCAAACTACTTGCTATTTGCAACTTGGACTCTAAAAGTGTGTTGAGGTTAGGTTCTGAACGACCTTACACTAAACCCTAATACTAAATCCCTTTTAGAGATACTCAAACCAATCACCTGCTGACCCCACTATCTCCTCAGTTATCTTTTATATTTGAGGTATATTCCACTTCTGTCCTGGCAAGCTAACCACAGACCTTACTGAGGAGATGGGCTACTGGACATGCATTCTGCAATTGATTGTTTATTCTAAAAATGCTGCTTCTTTTACTCATTTTGAAGGTAAGAATATCTATCTACATGTATCACTTTCCACTACATTCCACAATCACTGTTTGAAAACACCTAGAATTTCTAACTCCTAGGGCAGGATATGGTTACAAGGTTTCTGATCTTCAAGATCTAAGATTATAAGTAATTGGAATATTAGAATAAATATTAATTGTACCCACCATTCTTTTTTTTTAATCTAAATGTTTACTGAAAGCAAGAGTATGTAAAAATAAGTAAAAAAAAATAAGAAATGTAGAGGACTACAGATATAATTTAGAATCCAATGCACTCTTGTTAATGCACCATGAGTTTCCTGCTTGCTAATGTGTCTATGTCAAAAACCATTGTTACAGCCACCTGCTTCAGTTCTAGCCTAAAACAATAGGTTGTGAAACATTCTGTAAAGATAAAAATCTAAAAAATATATCACAACCTCTTAAAACTTAAGACTAATATTACTAATGGCATTTTCACATTTTCTCACAAAATGTATCACAAAATGATACGAGAACAGATGTTCTTTGACTTAAGATGAGGTTTTTCCAGATAAATGCATTCATTCTAGGTTGAAAATATTGGAAGTTGAAATGCACTTAATAGCCCTAGCCCACCGAGCATCAGAGCTTACTCTAACCTACTTTACCTATGCTCAGAACACTTACAAGAGGCTACATTTAGGCAATGTTACTTAACAGACAGCCTATTTTATGATTAAGTGCTGACTATCTGAGGCAATTTAACGAATACTGTACTGAAAGTGACAACAGAATCCTTGTAGGAGGGGAGGGTGGTCGTCAGTGTGTGGGTGACTAACCGTCATGACTGCCTGCTTGCCTGGGAGCTACGACTCGCTCGCTACTGCCGACCAGCATCACAAGGTAGTATGGAAAGAGTGTTGTACCGTACAGGCACGTGGTTTATACCACATGTCACTCGCCCCAGGAAAGATGCAGATTCAAAATTTCAAGTACAGTTTCTATTGAGCGCATGTTGGGGCCCCACAATAGTAAAGTCAGAAAATTATTAAGCCAAATCATCATGAGTTGGGAATCACTCCTCTTCTGAGTTATGTGGTATGTAAAACAGCATCTCTGCAAACTCAGCTGTGGCGATTTGCTACTATGTTTTCTATAATGGGGATGTTTCAGTAAACCATAAGCAGCTGAAAATGCAAAGTAACTATAAAAGCTAGGAGGGGAGAGCAGCCAGATTTTATTCCTCACCACGGCCCAGGAACAAATATTTCCTCCCATCTTCCTGCTTGCCCACCTCTGATGACCTCTGCTGTTTGCTCAAGTGCTACAGTTTCTCAAGGTAGTCATGAGCTCTCCTCTCACATCCCAAGGGTGGTCTCACCATGTCCCATAAAGTCCCACTACCCAATAGTCCCAACTCCATGTCTCTTGCCAAGAAATGTGTCCCAGCAAGGGTCTGACTTGATATATCCTACTACCTAACACAACTCTATCTTGAATGTCACAGAGAAATTTCAACCAACACACCCCTGGTCCTTGTTTGATGAATGTTAACAGCCATCTATGGGTCAAGGTTGAAAATCCTAGACTCCTGTCTCTCCCTTCATTGACATTCCAATTTCATGATACAAGTGATTCCCTTAGTTTTCAAAAAACGGTCAGAGAGAGGAGACCCTCACGCCCCAGAATGTTTACCGTTAAGTTATACTGCCCGAGATTTCATCAATTAGAAATCTGTTTGGGTTAACGATGTCATCATATACAAATACATCCAGGAAGGCTGGAAAGTGAACTTGTTCACTTCTCAGTAGGAATTAGTTAAATCACTACCTCCTCCACTCACCTAACATGGGTGGGCAGGATTAAGAGGTGGTTTTGATACTGACTCCTAGAGGAAAAACCAGGCTAAGGCAGCATAAGGACATAGGTAACCTAAGTGCTACAAAAGGGAGAGAAGTGGAAAAATTCGGAGACTTAAGAAATGTCCTTAAGACAAATTTGGTCCATGTGGTTGTTGTGCTCACAGAAGAGGAGTAAGAAATACATTCTTCTTTTCCACATCTATCCTCCCACATATCCACTTCCTACTTTCAAGACACAGAATCCAGACTAACACTAGTACTAATGATACATCTAAACACTTAGCATTCATCGGTACAAAACACACTGCAAGACCAACTGTACCAACGATGAAAAGGCTTTTGAAGGTTAAGAATCCATATAATTAACATGAAAAAGCATATCCCAAAATTTAAACAATATCCCACCAAGAAATTTCTTCTGAGTCCCCAAAATCTGAATAACAAGTTATTTAAGAACAATGTAGAATATAAAATCTTAAGACTGTAGAAGGCGCCTTGAAAGACACCTAGGAGAAACTCTTTCCATATATACTTTTGGGATTTGGGATATATGCAAGTTATTCATGTGTTCTATGCAAACAAAACTCAACTAACCAAATTGGGGGGGTGTATGTGTATGTGGGTGTGTGTGGGGGGGTGTATATTCATCTACTAAGAAATCAAGTTCACTTTATGAATATAAAAATAAATCTAATCATTATCATTAAAAGATGTGGAATCTTTTCCTTTATAATCACTGTAGAGATCATTAAAATGTGAGTTTCATATGTAAACTTGTTTTAATACCAAATAACCTTTACCATTGGGAATAACTTCTCCATCTTTCAAATTCTCTAATACTTGCATATGAATTATCTAGACTGTATCTTCCCTGTCTAAGCTCTGTTAACGGAAAGGGCTAGAGCTTCACATCAACCTTCTCTATCCTTGTATTTATCCCAATACTTTGGACATTGTAGGTGAATAGCAAACATTAAGGGTTCAGTGAAATAGATGAGCAAATCAAACAATCAGATAATGGATGGGCTGTAACACTTTCCTTACAGCTAACCTTCCGGTTAAAGCTGACTGATCTATGCTGAGCTGTTGGGATTGCTGACCTCCAGCGAGTAGACTGGCAGGTGGTGGGGAAGAGGGTTGAGAAACACTCTTCTCAATACAATACTTGTGTGTCACTTGAATTGTTAAAAGGAGCAATCATTGCTCTTCAATTTAAAATATTTAAGAAATACATATATAGTGTACCTAGTTACTTGATATAATAGTAATTCACACTTTCTCTTGAAGAAATACTCAGAATATGCAAAGTATTGAATATCTAAATGCCTATGATTGGATGGGCTTTAGTTCTTATTAAATATATATGAAATATTTTTTTCAGATTTTATTTATTTGAGAGACAGAGAGAGAGAGAGAAAGAAGGAGGGAGCACAAGCAGGGGGGAGTGCAGAGGGAGAACAAGAAGCAGGTTCCCCACTGAGAAAGGAGCTGGATTCGGGGCTCAATCCCAGCACCCTGAGATCATGACCTGAGCCAAAGGAAGATGTTTAACCGACTGAGCCACCCAGGCACCCCCATACTGAGCCATACGAGTCATTCTTTAAGCAGACAGTACTATGCTTTTCCCTACAGAGCCAGGATGAAACCTCATAATCTTCCCAACCCAGAGCTATGGGCAGTGACCACAGACCAAGGGAAATCAGCACAGACACCATGTGTTCTATCACCGGATGAATGCAGTAAGACAGAACAACCTATCACAAAGGCTGTAAAGTAATTTAAAATATGTACTTCAGCACAGACTACAGGATACAAGTATGTGCACTAATTCACATCCACCCAAAACACCCTCTCCAGGTTAACAAATACTGCATCAAGAGACAACTCCTACAAACCCTTCTGCTCAACTGTTATTAGAAATTCTGCTAACTGGCAAATGGATCAAAGAAATGAGCTATAATTGGTGATGTCATCAGTTTGTTAATCTGCATAATGGATGTCAGAAATGTTTCTCCAGTTAAATTCAGATTCAAGAAAACTGGATTGGCTCATATATTACAGGGGATCCCTCTCCCCATTCATGAATAACCCAGTATGAGCTGTAGTCATATCCCGCGGGTGGGGGGCGGACATCTAAGACTTGATCCCTAAACGGCCCTACAGAAACTGCAGGGTCAAAGGATATCTGGTGGCCTGATGCGGACAAGTTTACGGAAACATATAACCTAGAATTTTGTCTGTGGCTAGTACACCTTTCAGATAAGGAATGGAGGATTCACCTGAGGGACAAGACCTGGAACTTGAGCACAGAGGTCTGTATTGTAGACAGTTCTCCATCCGCTTGTCAGTCAATGTCGAATGCAGTGTGTCTGAGACTACAGGAGTCTAGTCTAACTTCCACCAACCTCTCATAGCTGGTGACTCCTCCCTATGAAAAAGAAATCTAATAGTTGGCCACGGCCAAACTGCTGAGATCCAGCACATGTCTGTATTGACGTGCAAAATTTATCAAGCACAGACAAGAAGAAAGTTGTCTATTAAACCAATGGACAAGGTGATGATGTGGGCATGAAAAGGATTTCCTTCTGCTTTTGCCAGTGGCCATGAGGCACCCCTGGAACCATCTCAGCTGCCTGTGTCACTGATAAACAAGCAGGAGCCAACTGTGTGCTGATTCAGCACGTCCGGTCAGCTTCTATTTACTCGGCAATTATAATCAGTCTCAGGAGGTGGTCTGAGCTGCTCTGGGAGCAGTGCCATGGATGGTGGAGAGCCATCTCAACAGGTAAGTAACGACAAGAGCTTTCTACAGTTTCTGTCCTATGGTGTCAGAGGCTAAAACAAGAAGCGCGCGCTCCACTCCCGTGCAAATGTGATGTGGCCATATTTCCTGCACTCAAGCTACCGGTCCACATTTCCTAGGCCTCCAGGCAAGGACATCCATGCAACGGCACTACTGAGGAGCTCCCGCCTAATCTTCACTGGAAGTCCTTCATCTGCAACAGGTGAACACACTGAAAAACATGTATCAAGTGAAGACTAATGGATACATTTCCATAAAAGGCCTCTATGCAATGAACGTGCTCAATGAAAACCATCTGCTTATGGCCTGGTAACAGTATCTGGTAGTGCGTATCTGTGTGAAAAGGCTTTTTCAAAGAAAAACACCTAAAATTTTATTGTACATATACCTCAGTAAAGTTTGATGATGGGAACACTCAATTTGAACCCCAATTAATGTGAAAAGTTATTCCTTTCCCAAAAATAGAATCCCATTCTTCTAATTAGACTTATATTGCAAAAAAAAAAAAAAAAAAAATCACAAAACAACAACAACAAAAAACTGCACTCAACTTTGTGTCCATAAAAAATTTTGTAAAAAATGTCTTTTTTTCTCTTTAGGTCATTACCTACATATCTTGATTTGCCTCCTGGTTCACAAAACCTGAAATAGTTACTATTTGATTCATTACAGAAAAAAATCATTAACCCACCCAAAGTGGATTATATTTAAAAATGAAGTTAGATCTGTTACTCTGTTGATACCAATACGGAATGATCTGTTATTTAGAAAAAGCAAATCTTAAGGGGTGCTTGGGTGGCTTAGTCGGTTAAGCATCCGACTCTTGATTTCAAGGTTGTGAGATGGAGCCATGTCGGGTCCGTCCTGAGTGTGGAGCCTGCTTAAGATTCTTTCTCCCTCTCCCTGTGCCCCTAACCCAAGTCTTTCTTTCTCCCTAAAACAAATAAGCAAATCTTAGTAAGATAATATAATCCTGTATATGCAATAAAATCCCCTTGAAACAGGTACTTGCACTGTTGTGCACGCGCGCACGCGCGCGTGCGCACACACACACACACACACATACACACACATACACACGCACGCAGTGCCTGGAAGGAAATGGAAGCACCATTTCTAGCAGACACTCTGGTTTGTTCTCCATGAAGCATCCCGGGTGACACAGAAATCAAACCTGGCGACTCCCCTGCGTAAAAAACAAAAAAACAAAACAACAACAACAACAAAAAAAAAACAGTGGTTTCTCATCACATGTAAAAGGAAAACCAAACCACTCCAAGTCTTGTCAGGTACTCGAGCCCTGGGGTCTGGCTCCTGGCTGCCTTTCTAACTTAGTTGTCCCCAGCCTCCCTTCAGCCCAGTGAGAGGCAGCTTCACTGGCCTCGGCGCAGCTCCTGCAAGCATTTTCCGCAGGACCTTTGGACGTGCCGTTTCCTCAGGCTGGAACGTGATTCAAGCAGTCACAGGGCTCCCTTCTGCCCGGTGCCAGGCCTGAGATCTACAGTCACCCCAGCTAACTGACTGCATAGCTGTGGTTCTGTGTGTCACACAGCTCGTGAACGGACAGTCACAGTCACCTTCAACTACTGTGCCTTCCTCACTAGGCGTGACATCTGTGAGGGACACACCTGGTTCCTCCTCTGCCATCTCCCTGCAAGCCAAACAGATGCCCAGGACACAACACGTGTCGGGGGGACCAACAGGAGGTAAGCCAGCAGGAGGACGGGAAAATTTCCTCTCTTTAGCAACTTCTGTTAGTGAGCATGGATTTGCATATTGTTTATAAAATGAGAGTTTAAAAAGAAAAAAATTACTGGTTAATTTGATTTCAGAGATTTTTTTTTTAATTGAGTTTCTCCCTTTACTCCTGTTCTATTTATTAGTGAATCTCTGTAACTCTTTCTTGTGATCTTAACTGCATCCTACCCACCTCAGAGCAACAAGTGCAATGAGTCCAAATTGAACTGAAACAGGACTGAAAACAGAAACTGAGAAAGGACTTTTATTTCACCACAGAGGATCTGGAGGTGTCGCGTGATGAACAGGGTACTTTTACCGCTCCCCATCTCCAGCACATCCAATTGTCTAAAGGAAGCTGCCGGCTCTACGCCTCTCTCGGAGGCAGACTACCAGACAGAGGTAGGCTACCAGCTGCGCTGATCGTAGACAATCTGGAACACCAGGGGGCCTTGATTTTATCACGCTAAAACAAAGGCATCAGATTTAGGCTAGACAAGATATAGGTCTCTCCTGCCCTAAAATGCAATGATCTTCTGTCTCTGTGGAATGACATAAAACGAGGCAACTCTAAAAGATATCTTTGTATTAGACCACACAGAATGTCTGTTCCATCTCTGAGTAAAATTTAGTGTCTGCAGGGCCTGAGCTGCACCCCACTGCATGATAACCCCCCCCACCATGTGATGCAGAAATCTGAAGTCTCCCAGAAGGCCCAGTGCCAGCCCCTCATGGTCCTCCACGTGCCCCAGACCCCTGGGAACCATGGACATGGGGCTGAGTCCTAGAACATCCTGCTTTCACGGAGAGCTGCACTCTTTCTTAACAACATTGGGGTTACAGGGTGCACCACACTGTCTGAAACCAGACTTTTCTCACTTAATTTATATTTATACACCATTAAATATTATTCAGAGGCTTTAAAAATAAACAAGATAAAAACTGAGAAAAAAGAGAATGTAAGCTTTAAGAACAGGATATTCTTAACTACCAAAACAATTCTATGTATCTACTGATTTATATTAACCTTAGAGTCAACATGATTTTAAAATAAGTATTTTGAAAATACATACTAAGCCTAACCCTACATAAAATATAGTTTGTCAAATTTTATATATTTTCAGAAAGCTAAGATATAAAAAATAAGGTTAAAAACATACAAAATTAATTCTTTTGTGAGACTATTTTAGGGAATTTATACCCAAGGAAAAGATACACATCACAGATTATTTCCACACCCATAACTTTTCCATCTTAAAAAGGGAAGTTAAAATCATGGTGAGAACAGACAAATAGCGAAGAATAAAGTGGATCTTACGAAAATTTTAACCTAATCTTTGGGTAAAGATGGCTAAAGTTCAAGATTTCATCACTTTTGACTGCTGACATTTTTTTTGTGCTCGTAATCAGAGAGTGTGAAATGTTTTCTACTGTTGCTACTTTTGATATAATTACTACAATTACACAATTCGTTATGATGGTCACAATTAAATTACACACAGGAGAAAATCTATTTAAGTGATATGCTTAAAGCAAAATAACTAGAAGCCAAACAAGGCCTGTTATAATGAACTTCTTATCCTGAGCAAAGATGTTTTTTTTTTTTCTTTATAACTAACGTTGACCAAAGTTTCTTCAAAATAAATACTGATACTGTATTTCCACATTTACTGTTTTGTACATTCTCTTTTCTTGGTGGAATCAATGCCTACACTGCCTTCATCTCCCTTGTAAAAGAAACAGCCTTGAGCCCTCTAGCAGAACGCCTCCGTGCACGAGGTCATGCATCTAAGAGGCCCCAGAGACAAGGACGTGTCCGCTCCAGTCGACTCTTCCCGGTACGCATCACTTGCTCTCGGCTTCTACACGGAAAGGCTTGGGAGAGACGCATTCTTAACAGCAGATTTGACCCAAGCACTTAGAAATTCCAGAGCGGTAAGCCACCTATCCCTACAGAATGCATCAATGGAAAGTATCACACACACATTCTTTAAAATTAAAAAAGGAAAAACGGAACTATTTTAATTATGGGAAGGTGGTAATGACATTCCAAAAGGGACGCACCAGCACACATCCCTGCAACAAAGGAACTTGTAAAGGAGGTTCACATACTTCCATCGCATCCACTGGATGGCTGTCCCCCTGCTTCTGTAGCTTTGTCCACAGTACAATCAGCCACTAAACCAAGCTCATGGTCACGCTGCATTTCACCGCCAGAGGAGTTCCACATTCGAGAAGCGCTATCCTCTTTCTGTCCACTTCTCACATCCAGCAATTCTTCCATTTCTACGCTGCTCCCTTCCAGAGGAGTGAAATCGCCTTGAAGCCCCTCCCCTCCATGCCCCCGCGGCACACTGGGCTCACCAGCCACGTGAGAGCGGCGTCTCCCACCTGCGTGCGGGCCTGCTCTTCTGTGGGCGCCAGCCTGCTGACGAGGGCCTGGGGTTCCTTCGGCGGCACACGTTCCCTCCGAGGTCAGGCAAGCCCACATCGCGTGTGCTGCGTCTTGTGGCGGTTTCGCGAGCCTGGAGCTCGTTTTTGCTGTTACGTCAGTCATGTCGACCGACCTGGGATTCTTACCAATGCAGGAGAAGTCAGCCATGTGCAGTATGTTTCTTCTCTCCATCCGGGAAAGACCACCGCCGCGGCTGAACTGAGCCAGGCCTGCAGATGGCTGAAATCCGGGAAGAAGAGCCTCTGAACTCCTTTCCCTAAGGTTATCAGGTGAGAAGTAATCATCGTACGAGGACACGCCGCAGCCCGCGGTCTCGCCCGCAGGCCCGGCCGGGAGCGGCAGGGGGTGCCCCGACGTCCACAGCCGCACCCGCGGCCCGCCAGGCTGCCCACCGCACCTCTTCTTCTTCCGTCTTTCTTCGGGGGGCGCTCCCGAGCTCTCCGACCTTTTTCTCTTGGCTGAGGAGCTCTCAGATCGTGAATGTCCCGAAGGGCGGCGTTTGGTTGCAGATAACATAGGAGACAAGCTGCGTTTCTCGTCAAACACTATTCCGGCCGCTCCCTCGGACTGCTGCTTATGGGGGGTGACCACCTCACCCGCGGGATCTCCTTGCCGACGAGTCTCTTCTTTGGAAGGACTACCCAGGGCCTTCTGAGGCGTTAACGGGTGGAGGTAACCAGGAGATGCCGAAGAACGGATGCTCCTTGTCTTCAGCGCAGGCGAAGAAACACACACACTTTCAACTTCATCCACAATTCCTCCCAGTGTCGCTTTCTGACTTCCACATCTCGCCTTTCCACAAAGATCGTCAAAAGATGAGTTCAGGTCACCAGCAAAGGATTCATCTGGAAAGTTTTAATGAAGAATTAACTTTTTAAATGGTTTCAATTATTATACAAGTAACTTCTGGTTAACCGATAAAGCCATACTTAAACACAGCTATTGGTTAAAAAGAGCACTGACCGCATCCTGGTTCCTCTCATTTCCACCTGAAGACACCTGTCGGGCCAGCATTTCTCACTAAGAAACCCGGCATCGAGGGGAGAGCACAGGACTGTGGGGAGCTCACCTTCTGAGCAAGCGTTCATACACATGTGCGCTCTCTTCCAGGAAGAGCGTCCACACTCTGTCACTACATTCTCAGGAGGTCAATAATTCTAAAAGGAAAGAACTGATGCTACCAACTACGTCAAGTTCTAGCCTTCCACGAGTCCTAGCCCACCTGACTCCCCTATTCTCCATGTAGGTCCTCACACCGCATTTATACTCAAAAGCGAACCATCCGGGAGAACTTCAGGTTTGGACTGCCCACATTTTATGTATTTCTTGAGAATACTGCTGGGCTGCCACCCATCGCCAGAAAGCTACACACATGTCTCTATCTCCAGGCCTTGCCTTCACTCCACACTTTAATCTGGATCAGTTCTACTCAAAACCCACCTCGGATGTCAAAACTCTCTGAATCTTCCCACTCACCGGGTCTAGTTACACACATCCTCTTCCGTTACACAGAACTCTGCCTCAAGTTCCCAAAAGCATGTGTCCTAGTATTCTTAGTATTCCTATCTGTCCCTCTCACTAGGCTAGATGGTCCTAGCGCACAGGCACTATTTTCTGGAATCTGAGGCCTCTAACCCAAAACTACTACAGCTCTCCCTTCTAAAGAAGAACGGAGGTAACCAGCAGGGAGCAGAGGGAAGCCCCTGGTGGGAGTGGCAATGACCCCACACCAAGTCACGGAGCGTGTCAAGTGAGGCACTAGAAATACAAGACACGTTTAGCGTAAGCAGCTGCATAAGTTTCGCACACTTCTCAAGAAGCTGACAAACAAGTGTGCTGTCATGAAGCAGCAATTCTGAGGTCAGGCTGCCTAATTTCGAATCCCAGGCTGGCCGCTCACAAACAATGTCAGCTTCTGCAAGCTGTTTCACCTCTCTGGCCTAGTTTTCTCATGGACACAATGGGGGTGACAATGGTAGTGAGAGAATTAAATGAGGTACAGCACATAAGACACAAAGACCAGCGCCCAAGACGGGAAAAATGAAATCTGTGGTAGTTACTACCACTCGTGTCAAACTTACATAAAATAAGTGCATCAAGTAAAAAATAAAAAGACAAAGATTATTTAAGACAGATGGGTAAACAATTTCCAATACACAACAAAGAGATTGTTAAGAATAAGCCACACTTGAACAGGAAGCTGCGATTTAAACTCCTGACACCTTCCTACCATTTGTCATCTGTCACTTCTGTGGCTTTCAGATCTATGCTACTACCTATGTGGGCCCTTCTACAGGTGAAACTGAGTGGTCGTAGCACATTTCTCAAATGTACTCAAAGGAAAGCTATATAAGCAGGAAAAAATATCACTCGAACTGAAACTAGGGCTCCCACATTTAAAATGTATATATAATATAAAACCCTAATTTTATTCTTGCCAACGCTCTGCTTCTAGACAGAAATCCTGCCAGTTATCTTCTACATCTCTACACACCTTACTGACCCTCTCAGTCACGTGTTCCATTCTGTTTTTACCCATGTTGTGAAAGCAGCAGCTCTCAAACTGTTCTCAGTAATACAGTCTATAGCATGCAATTTAGTACTCAGAACATGATTTTTTTTTTTTTTTTTTCAAATGAGCAATTGAGTCTGTGCCAAGAAAGCAAATGCCTAGGAGAAAAACTACAGGGGCCAAAAAGGAGGTTTAAATCATGCAATTTCTCATGCCCTAATTGTATTACAATACCTATTTTTTATTTTAATATCTAATTTCATGAATTCTAGTTTTTAACCAACTGTTCTTGATATCAGAAGAAACTCCAAATAAGAAATTCATCATAGTCTCACAGTTTAAATATACCACAAAAAAGAAAAAAATTTTTACCTGAGCACAATGTATCATGTGAAATGTTCCCAGAAGCTTCACCTGGGGAGTTGACTTGGTTATCAAGGGACTTTTCAAGCATCTGCGAAGCTGAAAACATAATCGCACACTTCATCAGACACAATTCTGACACGCTAGTAGATGAAGCCCATGGTAAGCCTCCTTATTCCGGTTTTCCACACACATATCTACACCTGGTGCTTCTATCCCAGACCTACTATAAAACAGTAAGCACAAAAAATGTACTCAAATCTATTACAGATGATGAGATTCATAAAAAATAATCTACACATATCAGGTTATAAAAAGGATTAAATCAGAGGATAATTAAGGTTAGAAGAGCTTTTGAGGGGTGCCTGGGTGGCTCAGTCAGTTAAAGCACCTGACTCTGGGTTTCAGCTCAGATCATGATCTCAGGGTCCTGGGATCAAGCCCCAGGTCAGACTCTATGCTCAGCGGGACATCTGCTTCTCTCTCCGCTCCTCAGCCTCCCACCCCGCTCATGCTTGCTCACTCTCTCTCTCTTAAATAAATAAAATCTTTAAAAAAAAAATTTTAAGATAATAGAAATAAAGAAAAACAAAAACCAATGCATGCGATACTTAGTCTAATGTAGATTCCCTCAAAAGAAGAGCCTGATTTATTTTTTTTTTTTTAAAGATTTTATTTATTTATTTGACAGAGAGAGATCACAAGTAGACAGAGAGGCAGGCAGGCAGAGAGAGAGAAGCAGGCTCCCTGCCGAGCAGAGAGCCCGACGCGGGACTCGATCCCAGGACCCTGAGATCATGACCCGAGCCGAAGGCAGCGGCCCAACCCACTGAGCCACCCAGGCGCCCATTGATTTATTTTTTTAAAAAAGAAAACATCCCAGAGGTGCCTGGGTGGATCAGTGGGTTAAAAAGCCTCTGCCTTCAACTCAGGTCATGATCCCAGAGTCCTGGGATTGAGCCCGGCATCAGGCTCTCTGTTCAGCGGGGCGCCTGCTTCCTCCTCTCTCTCTGCCTACTTGTGATCTCTGTCAAATAAATAAATAAAATCTTAAAAAAAAAAAAAAAAAAAGGGAAAACAAAACATCCCAAAGATATTAAAAATTACAAAGGGGCTATAAAAAAAATAGGATTCTCAACCTATACATACAAAAACTACGCACCCAATATGTGCTTAAAATATGTTTTAAAACTATAAACTCAATATAGGCTTTAAAAATCTCAATGATGTGTAAGATTTTCTGGAAGAAAATATTCACAAACTGTACCCAGATGTAGACAAAAATCTGTTAATCTGTTGATTTGTTAAGACAAAAATATGTAAAGAGAAAAAAACCTTTCCACCACAATTCACTGACCAAGCAATTTGCCTCATTTTCACTTTATAAAATGTGAGCACTTACATGTAGGGGAGAGGTTCTCCCTTTTCTCCTTCATCTCCTGTAATCTCTTTTGCATTGCACTATGCTGACCGCTGCACATTTTAATGGTGGGACTATACATCAATGAGCCATTAGATTCAAATAAGAGAACAGGTATATCATTATCTGAAAATAAACAAAAATTTATTTAGCTTAAAAAAAAAAAAAAGGCCAGAAGTTTTAATATAACAATATGATTTCTTTTGAGGAACACCCCCCACGTCCACCCCCCCAGTCTTCCTCGTCCCCTGCAACAACATCACCTACTACTACCAACAGTCTTATCTTCACCCCGCCATCCGCACGAGCAGTAACACTGGTGCGGAAACTGTTGGCCAACGTTTGCTGAGAAACGTCCACAGCCGGGCACTGTGCTAATAATAATAAGCATACTATGTGCACTCTTTCATTCAACCTTTCCCAAACCCAGCGCATCAGCTTATCCATCTCCCCATGTAAAGATGAAGAAACCAACACACCAAAGTTAAGCACCTTGTTTATACCCAGGATCATACAACCAGTGAGAAGGTAAAGCTAGAATGCAATTTGGTTCCTAAACGCTGACAAGAGGGGCAGAATGTACCATCCCGAACATGCCACTTTGGCATAAGGGTTATTTTGAGCAAAATCCACTCAAATCACAGAAGGTGAAAGAAAGGTGTCAGGACACCCCCCCCACCCCTACTCCAAGCTCCTTCCTAAAGGCAGGAGGTACAACTCCCCTTTGAAAGACGCACCCCTCCATATTATCACCAGAGATGGGGAGCTGATGCCAAGAGAATTCTGTAAAACAGATCTTGTTAGAGGAACGCCCACTCTACTTTGGTTCCCCTTATGTCTTACTTTTCCACAACTGCCTCTCCTATTCAACATAAGCACTAAGGTTTTACTTAGTCGGGATTTTATCTCCTATGAGAGCCTGCATGTCACAAAAAACTTATGCTCTTCTCCCATTAATCTGTCTTTTTATAACAAAGCCCCAGCTAGGAACCTAAGATGGGTGCAGAAACAGTTCTGCCTCTAACAGTAATGTTTACTCTAGGTCTCAGAAACCACTACCACTAGCCAACCCTCTCTGACCCTCAAAAGACATACACATTAACTTTGGGGTCAGGAGTCCGTCAGCCATGAAATGATGGCTAAACTGGGTGTGGGTGCACAGCTACGTGTTTCTGGAATCCATACCTCGCATTTGCTCAAGGAGAACTTCAGGGCTCTGACCACCTCCCCTCACCCACCAATAAAAAGACCAAGAATCATTCAGTATCTTCTCCTTTGCAACTCTTAAGCCTGAACAGCTCAAACTACACATCTGCCAATATGCAGATAAGTCCGTTTTACCCGTAATACCTTTTATTTGTAGTGCTTAAAAAGCAATTTTTACTAAGATATAAATTTAATCCAAAAAGATAAAAATTTTTTTCAGTACCATTTGCCAAATCTTTTTAAATACACCATTACTGGTGTAGGAAGGCCCAAAAAGCAGGAGTATAAAGCTGAGTGGTACAAGGCTGACCTGAGGCCGAAGGTGATACCAGACCACAGAGGGCATGCGGTGCTGGAGGGCATGTCAAACATACGGTTTCATCTGAAATGCTTTTCCTTACAATGACCTGAGGAAGAGGAAGCCCTGGATAGGGTGTGCACCTGACTTGTAGTTTACACCCTTGACTCAAGTAAGCTGACGGATGGTAAAGGACACAGCGCCTCTAGGGCCCAGTCACAGAGCCGCTAGGAGGGTTCCCATGGATTGATGCTTAGAGAAAATCAGTGGAGGATCCAAGCAATCATTCAGAAGCAAGGGTAAGGATCGTGGTGCGTAACTGGCATCAGGCAGAAAGGTCAAGAACTACTCCACGTGTCTGGCCGGAGCAGCAAGGAGACCAGTTAGTGCGAGGCTGTTAGGGAGGGACCAGCATGGCACCAAGAGAAAGAAGCCTGATTATCAGGCACTGGGATGACTCAGCACAAAAACAAAGGATAAAAGCAATGTTTTTTTGGAAGTGATCTGGCAGCACTACCTATACAGGCTAAATGTTCTCGTCAATTTTGTTGCATTACCCTGACAGATTTAAAATAAAACTTGATAATTCTGCATGAGAAGTTTCAAAATACAGAGCAGAGAATTCGTGACATGGCAAGAGACACTACAATAAAAAGTGGAGGAATGAGTGCTTCTTATTTCTATGCTATGCATTATAAAGTTACCAAAATTGCTTCCATGTACCAATGATGTGCTGGGATTGGGCTGAAACACTGAATTTAGGTAGTGAAGAAGGCAAAAAAGAGAAATACAAAAACCCATACGGTACTTTAGAATTTCATGATCTTCTAAAGTATTTTTATAAATTAAAAGAGTACATCTAGCAAAAAAAAAAAAAAAAAAAATCCAATTTTAAAAATGGGCAGAGGATCTAAACAAGACATTTTTCCAAAGAAGACATACAAATAGCCAACAGGTACATAAAAAAGAGTCAGCACCACTCATCACGAGGGAAATGCACATCAAAACCACAATGAGATTCTAACAGTACACTAGAATGATTATTATCAAAAATACCAGAAATAGGGGCACCTGGGTGGCTCAGTGGGTTAAGCCTCTGCCTTCGGTTCAGGTCATGATCTCAGGGTCCTGAGATCGAGCCCCACATCGGGCTCTCTCCTCAGGGGGAGCCTGTTTCCCTCTCTCTCTCTGCCTGCTGCTCTGCCTACTTGTGATCTCTCTGTCAAATAAACAAATAAAATCTTAAAAGAAAAAAAAGACCAGAAATAACAAGTGCTGGCAAGGAAGCACAGAAAAGGGACTCCTGTGTACCGCTGGTGAGAATGTAGATTGGTGCGGCTACTGTGGAAAACTCTACGGAGGTTTCTCAAAAAAATTAAAGATCAAACTTCCCATTAGAGCTAGTAATCCCAGTTTTGGGTATTTATTTACCTGAAGGAAATGAAAACACTAAAGAAGAAAAAAGGAAAAGACTGATGGAAAGAGATTATCTGACCCCCTCCTGTTCACTGCAACATTATTTACAATTAATCACCAAGACACGGAAACAACCTGCATGTCCATCTACGGATTAATAAAGAAAACGTGATGTGTGCATGCGTCCGCGCAAGCGCGCGCGCGCACACACACACACACACACTTAGAGGAATACTATCCAGCCATAAAAAGAACAAAACCTTGCCATTAGTGACAGCACAGATAGACTGTGAGCACATTACACTGAGTGAAATAAGTCAGAAAAAGGTAAATACTACACAATGTCACCTCTATGTGGAACCTATAAACAAAACCAGAAAACAAAAACTAAAAAAACCAAGCTCATGGGGAGAGAGAACAGTCTGGTGGCCATCGGGGGCCCCGGAGTGGGGGTTGAGTAAAATGGTTGAAGGGGTTACAGAGGTACGAACTCCCAGTTATAAATGAGTGAGTCAAGAGATGTCATGTACGGCATGGTGCCTACAGCTAATAACACACATTTCAAAGTAGCCTGGAAACTGGGTCTTAAAAGTTTCATCATGAGAAAAAAAATTTTTTGTACATGATATGTATGGTGATAGATGTTAACTGGACTTATGACCATTTCACAACACACACAAATGGCGAATCATTACATCATCCACTGAAACTAATGTTAGGTCAATTATATTTCAAACAAAAAAAGAATAGAAATGACTCTATGATTAAACACATAAGGACAAAAATTTCCCTATTTTTTTATTCTAGAGAAGCAGCCTGTTGCTACCTAGAACTGAAACGTGTAGCTAACTGATCTCCCAAGTTCACTATGTGATTCACAGCCTTGTGCAAAACACAACCATAAACAAGTGATTGTGCCACTGTTCAAGTGCTTTAAGGTTTTACAAGTAATTGAAGACAAAGAAATAAAGTATCTTGAAGCCAACTAATGCCTACACAGAGAAAAAGAAAATACAGAATCTATATAAAATACAAATAATGTCTACGTAAAAGCATCAGGGAACTACTAAAGAGACCAGGACCAGAGGAGTCAGGATTCTGGAGAGGAGGAGCACTAAGAAGCCAGCTGACAAGCAGTGGATGTTATTACCCCCAGGAGGATTGATCATTAAAGTGCCTGGGGCAAGAGGAGGTCCAGTCTCTGACCAGGCAGAGAGCAGTTACTGAGAAACAAACATACAAGCTAAGTGTTTATCAGTATCAACAAACTAAACAGAAAACCAAAGGCTCTGTGGCACCAAAACCCATTAGGCAGGGTGTAGTAGAAAACCGTTCCTTGCATGCATGTGATTTTATCTTCAGAAGAGTTGCCCAATCTGAAGCTACAAATGGCAGGATACTAAAAGTTAAACTGAATTCTTCTGTAAAATGGTGGAAAGTTCTCTGTGGTGTATTTTCACCAGGAGATGAAAATGGGAGATCAGGACCAGTCAGGCAAAGGGATCCTAGTTATCATGCCAGGCTCTCAGTGGAAAGGTCTAGATGGGGGCACCTGGGTGGCTCAGTGTGTTGAGCATCTCACTTCAGCTCACATCACGATCTCAGGGTCCTGGGATGGAGCCCCATGTCGGGCTCCCTGCTCAGCAGGGAGCCTGCTTCTCCCTCTCCCTTTGCCCCTGCTCCTGCTATCTCTCTCTCTGTCAAATAAATAGATAAAAATTTTGCACATATTGCATGGAGAACTGGGTGTTATACACAACAATGAATCGTGGAACACTGCATCAAAAACTAATGATGTATATGGAGACTAACGTAATGTAATTTAAAAAAAAAAAAAAAAAAAAGGAACAGTCTAGATGGCCACACTCTGGTACCAATGTCAAATCAAAAGTCTATCAACCTTACAGGAAAGTCAGTGAATCTCGAACTCGAATCAGTCCAGATAAAGCCAACAAGGCCCCACTCCACCTTCTTAGTAGGAGAACCTAGAAACTTTTTTGTCTATGAAAATAATGTTGCCTAGAGCTTCAAACATATTTTATAACTAATGACTTGCCTTCAATTACAGAAACAAACGGTCATTTCTACTAAGAGACAGGACATTTATGACAAAAAACAAAAGAAAAAAACATCATACAAAACAACAGAGGCAAAAAAAAAACACACACACACAGGCATTCTAGATATTGCAGATAGAAGCAAAGAAAGATGAAAAGAAAAATGTGAGTGATTTAATCAGAATAACAGAACCTATAAAAAAATCAGAAACCAAAAAAAAAAAAATCAGAAACCGTAGAACTGCAAAATAAAATAACCAAAATTGTGAACTGAACAGATGGATTTTATAGCAGATTAGACATGGCAGAAGACCATATTAGTGAACTGTAAAATAAGGTCAATAGACAATACACAAACTGACACACAGATGGGAACAAAGATTTCAAGGACCTCTGTGAACTCCGAGTAGGATATTTAAAAAGAAAACTGGACCAATGAACATAAAACTCAAACTGCTGAAGGCAAATAAAGCAAACAAAAGGCAGCCAAAGTTAAAGAAAATGTGCCTTTAAAAGAGCAAAAATACAACTATGGGTTAATTTGTAAATAGGTATTATGAAAGCCCAAAGACAATGAAACGTGTTTCTTCATTTTACTTTTTAGCTTTACTACGGAATAATTCAAAGTTAAAAATTATATTTAAGGTGAAATAAAGAAAGGATATGTTATCTAACACTTCCCTATTCTAGGTAACAAAACAAAAAGACCAAATATTAGGTAAAAACACAAGTGAGATTCAAAATAACAAAGAAATGAAGAGGGATTTAGTCTAATAGGGCTTAGTCAAAATCTGTTTTTTCCATAATCATTCCTGAAAGTAAAGAGTTTCATCGATGTTGAGAGTGACGGACACTTGCACCCATGAGCTCACACCATGGCGTCCGGCAGCGCGGTCCGTCTCCTGCAGGCTGCAGCAGGGTCTGCCGGGCACCACCGGCCGTCAGGCGGCTGAAACAGGTGCACAGGACTGAGCACGACTTCTGGACTCACCCAGACTTCTCTTCTGCCTTTGTAGCTCTGTAGCCATTTTTTCAAATTTCTTCTGAAGCCTTTTATCGTGTTCCGGTGTTTTAGGAATAAAATCTTTGGGCTGCATACACTTCCGCTGTGCAGAAAGGACATAAAAATGAATACTACTGAGCAGCAGCTGTGTAACAAGACAACCTGTTCCCGACGCTTCTAACACCTGTTACAAGACGGCAAGGAAAACCTGCGGACAGAGGCATTCCTCACGCCGCATGTGAAATGGCAGTGTCTCTTTCCTTCCAGGCCGCAGAACTGGAAGACTAGACACAAGACCGTACATCAAGGAGCTACATTTTCTGAGGCATTTCCAGGATGCCAGCAATCTTAGTTTCCAGGAAGGTTCTTAAACAAAATTAGTCGTTTAGTCGTTTTCTTTATTTTTGTTACCCTTACATTATTTCTCCTCTTTCCCCCTCCCCCAAATCATAACATGGTAACAGAGGACAAAAGCAATTATTTTCTAACTACCAAAGAAAGAAACAAGATTGAATCCTGCTTTGTCGTTAAATCACCGTAATTCTATTCTGCTAGTAAAACCCCAAAACTCAAACTACACAATCAAGGTGTGACAAACAGGATGAGGCCGCAGGCTAACATCCAAAGAACATCTTGGGTTAACCCTCCCGCGTCCATTCCTGTGTTCTCGACTGAGCATCTCGCTCTCATTTATTATTTAACAGAAATGTGTGTGTCAGGCACTGGTCTTGGAAAAAAGAAGATTCTTGATAGCAGAAGCTTATCTCTATTAAAGAATGACAGAAAATTAACATCACTAATAAGTAAAATAGAGGCTATGTGTGTCAGGAGGGTTAATTCCAGCAGGCCTGGAACTGGCCTGAACTGTTTTCCCCCTAGTACAAGCACAGCATGCAACGTCCTACTGCACAATGTTGCTTTGTAACCGCAAGTCCAGAGCACTTGGGGGCATTTGCACTCCCAGGGCTGGTCAGATCCCAGTGGGAGGGCTCTGCTGTCGGGGGGGGCGGTAATGTGCTGACCTCAGGTGTACCTGACCAGCACGACCCATGAGTCTCCCCTACGACTCCCTGGTCCCAGGGTGCTCCCCAGACTCTCAAGCATTATCCTTTAGGGTCCCGTGAATCTTCATTAGCGACAACCCTGGCTGACTGCCACCATCATTACAGTACGTCAGAAAGGAGTAAGTCCTGCAGATAGAAAGGAAAGCAGCAGACGAGTGGGAGCAGGACAGCTGACACAGTGGGAAGGAACCACTGCTGTACACAGGGTGGTCAGAGGGGGTCTCCCCAAGAAAGGAATGGCACAAAGCCCTACTCAGGTTAGAAAAAGGGGAACATGCATGAAGTTTGGGGAAAGTGTGTTCCAGATAGAGGGAACAGATATGCAATGCAACAGCTCTGAATTACAAATACGCTTGGTGGCTTTCAGAACAGCAAGCAAGAAGGTCAGACTGGGAACAGAAAGAATGAGGGAGAGTAAAGCTGAGAACCTTGTCAAAGAGCCCAAAATAATAACAGTCTGAAGTCATGTTCACTCCGCAACTGCACTTGAGTGAAGGCCTACATTTGTCATGAAATGGTCAAACACACACTGTTATGAGAAGAAGAAAAAAGCATTATCTCCCAGACAATACATGTAACACAGAACCTCATTTGTACAAAACATGTGTATGCGTGTGCGTGTGTCTGTAATGTATGTGTCCTGAAGACCATCTGATCTTTAAGGACCCAACTCAAACCAAAAATTGCTTACTTTGAAGAAAAAGACATTAAGAGAGGTATCTGCCTTATCTGTATTTACTCAATGTTTTACAATGGAAATACACCCCTTATTAGTGTGTTTTTAAAATAAGTCCTTTACTTCTAAAAGGGTAGACACAGCCACTGCTTGGCGTATCAGAAAGAGTAAGGACTTAGAAGCTCTAGTTCACCTCTAATCAAAGGGGATCTGGACAGAGACTTGAGTTTGTCCATCACTGCCCTGCAAATCTGGCCTGCCCAAGAGGAAATGTCTGAGATACAGGAGTCACCATTTACAGAAAATCTGTGACCCCCCAGGGGAATGTCTTCCTTAACCTACAGGAAATGTATGGGTCTAGTCTTTCTAACTCAGTTTGGACAAAGTCTGCAAATCTCCTCCTCAACAGGGACCCTCACATGAAAACAAAGCAACACTGACCATTTCCTAGAAAACCGTTTTCCCACAAATAAAGAAATCACATTTAAAACTTTTAAATAATAAAAGGGTGAAAATGTTGTGGATCAAATGTGAACTAGACCTCAAAGGAAAGCCGTGTCTTTAAGTCTGCACTGTGGATTTCCCATAATAAATAACTTACTTAATAAATAACTTGGATATTTCTGCATCAGACTTTAGAGATTTTCCAACTAAACAGCAGAACAGAGGTATTTTGCTACAGACGTAACAACCCAAATTCCGAAGCAGTTTGCAGTGCACCTGCACGTCTGCTGGTCTCTTGGCAAATTTTAGTTTTCCACTGGCCAGACAGAGCTCTTCCACTTCCCACAAATCGCATCAAAGCACTCAGAGGGTACACGAAAGTCTATAACTTTCTTAAAAACCCCATGTGGAGAGAACAGTATCATCAACTCCAATCCCTAAGACACCTCTTGAATATATTCCACCAAGTGTCACTTTGCAGGAATAAAAGAACGAATAAATTTCATAACAGCCACTGTCGAAATCACATACTTACTTTTTTTTTAGTTAGGCTCGGCAGGTGTTCCCTCGTGTTCGCCGCAGGGAAGAGCGCTTCATCGACGTGCGCCCCGGCTGTCCGGCACCTGTAATTCAACGGGCGGAGCAGAATGAGCACTCGTTCCTGTCAGAGTCACACAGCACCGCCGGCACGTGTGTCAGTTAGCAATTTAAGAGATGCAAAGGCCACGTTAACAGGCATGACTTTTAAAGTAACTACATTTATAATGAAATACAAAGGGCAATATAAATTCAAGTTTCCAAAATAGTCTCTCTACAGTGTTTTTAAAGTGTAAGAGTAGAACCAAGAGGCAGTTAGGCAAGCAGTTTTTACACAACTTTAGGCTTGTGACAGCCTTCAAACGATGAGTGCGGGGCATACGTACAGTATACACACATGCTGTTAAACCAACGGTAGAAGAGCAAACAGGACATAAGAGGAGAAATCTAGAGCTAGAAGGGCCTTAGAGAAATTCGGCCAGAAAGATTATCTTGCCCCTAAAATTGGTGTTTCACCAGAGAGCAGGGTGGGCCACACCAGCTTCTCTCGGCCATGCCCCGTGTACCTTAACTGTCTGCCTGTCACCAGTCTGTCATTTCCATTCTCACTAAGCCTCCCGTCACACTTCCCTGCCTGTCTTGGGAATCCCAGGACCTACTTCTAAACATTCAGACACTCAAATCTAAACAATTACAATAATTTTCAAAATGATCTCCTACCTATAGTTCCTACTCTTTTCACTCATATTATTACTGAAAGATTAAGCTTAAAACATTTTATTCATCTCTCCAAAACCCACATCACAAGCCTTCAATCACTCTTGTGTTTATAGAATAATCTCACCTACCTGTTGTTTCAGTCTTTTTAAAATATGGCCCCTAAACACATCTCCAACTGTATTTCATAAGCCTGTCATGTTCATCATTTAGTATGCAAATGACGGTTGAAAATATAATTGGAATATAATGCAAAAAAGAATAGGGCAAATATATCCATATTCACACAGAAAACTCTTAAATACATTAAGAGACAAAATTGCAGAAATGTGAACATGATGCTGTGTACTGTACATAATACAGCATTTCTCATTTTAAGCAAAGTCTGGAAGATCACACACCAAGCTGACAATAATACTATGTGTCACTAGGCTAATGAATCTCAAAGTATAGTTAGAAGACCCTGGAGTCCCTAAGCCCCTTCCAAGGGCATGTGAGGTCAACATTTTGTTTCACAAGAAGGCTTCCTTTGCCTTTTTCATTTCTCTCTCATGGGCACACAATGGAGTTAAAGCTAAGTGACGTGTGTGTGTGTGTGTGTGTGTGTGTGTGATCCCGATACACTGCGGACGCAAACAGCACAACTGTCTTTATTAAGCCAACCATGAAAGAAGTTTGCAAAAAATGCAAAAATTAAAAAACAACCACAGCACAATAATTATGATAAGAGAACAACAAGGTAGGGCAGAAACCGGAGAGAGCACAAGTGATGCTCCGGGGGTCGGAGTGGGAGAAGCGCAGGTGGGAGGTGACCGTCAGGTAAGTTCTGATGAGGAAGCAGATTCGGAGGATGCAGGTCTTCCGTCTGGAAGACGAGCACAGACAAAGGCGCAGCAAAGCCAACAACAGCGTGACAATTCTGGGAAAACAGACACCACTTGATGGGACTGCAGCAAACGCACTGGAGCGAGGGTACCAGGGACAGAAAAGGGTCACACGGGTCGCCCTGAGGGCTGTATCTGGGGGGAGCCTGGACAGGCCACTCTGCGGGATGTTTTCCGGGAGCGGGACATGAGGGCAAGGAGTCCAGTCAGGGACTGGGGGTGGGAGGTGGGGGGACAGGAGATGCTACAGGTTTCACTGAACCTGTGGGACTGGGTGGAGAACCTTGAATGAGCAACATTTAGAAATTAAAATGGAATGTTCTTGAGCTCTTGTTACAACTGGTGGCCTGAGCACATATGTTTTTCTCTCCTACCCCCAAAACCCCATTCAAATAACAATAAAGCAAAACAAAATGACACAGACCAACAGAAATGAAGAGTAGATAAGAGATGTCTAGGGAACTGAAAAGCAAATACAGAAAAGGAAACCCGAGCCTGGAAGCTGGATGAGGGAGGACAAGGGACTGAACTCCTCTCCTCACACCTCAAGGGCTCCAGCAACAAGGACGGGTCCGAGGAGCAGCAACCGCACCCCCAACTGTGCCCACAGTCAGGGCCACTGCACCCCACTCGCTCCAGCCACCAAAGCAGGTAGCGGGCTCGGATTTCAGACATCTTGGACCAGGGATGCACTGGACTCAAGGATACCAGGCTGAGTTCAGGTAGCACAAAGTTTCACACAAAAGGAAACGTGTTGTGTGCATTTTCAGATTCAGCTAAAACGACTTTCCCAGTCATAACAATGTAAAGCAAAACTGCTGATTTAGCTCATCCGCTGCTGATTTTTTTTATGGAATCAGGAGAGAGGCAGTGTGGGTGCAATGAGCAGGTGCACGTACATGCGTGGGGTCCCCCAGAACACAGCACTTGGGGAGCTAAATTTGTGTTTGCAAATTACAAGGTCTAGACAGTGCTGGAAACTGGGAAGTCAAGGCAGCAGCAGAGCCATGGTAAAAAAAAAATGGGAATTCAGAGGTCAGGACAGAGCTGCAGCAAGAGGGGCAGGTGGAGAGGCGTTACCCGTGGGGAGCAGGAACTGGGGGAAGGGGCGAGAAAGGGACCACTGTTTCACTACAAGCCTTGTAATAATAGCTGACTTCTCTCTTTCCTGTGTGTGCGGGGGCCCTCTCTCCATAACAGGATGGGAACAGGAAACTAGGCATTCTGATTCAAAGGGCTCCGGCTGGCACAACAGGGAAAGAAAGGGCACCTAAACCAAGACAGAAAATGAAGTCAGCATGCAGTTGAGAGGACAGCAAGTTCAGGCCTGGGCCTAGTTACACTCAGGTGCTGCGCTGTACCCACAAGAATTCACCCAGCAGAGCCCCACGTGTAGGGCTGACACGGAGAGGGCACACTGAGACCAGAGACAGAGACACGGTAAAATTCAAATCCTTTCCAGGGCCCTGCAGGAGCCTGTCCCTGCCTCTAAGCTCCCTCTCCGCAGAGAGCCTACGACTGATGCTCGCAGGCCCTCACAAACACTGGCATCACCACGACCTCCTACTCCTCAGAACACTGGCCCCCCAAGTCTCTGAACACCTAGTTCCTTCAGGTCGTCTTCACCTCAGCTCACAGGTCACCCACCGCAAGGGGTCTCCCCAGCCACTGTGTCAGGAGGGTAACCAACGCCAAACGGGCGCTGTGGCTACGCCCCCCGTTCCTTTCGGAGGATTCACCAAACCCCACACTTACAAACCTTGTTTCATTAAAACTAAGTTCCAGGAGGGGAGTGAACATGCCTGTCTAGTTATGATAGTCACGGCCAGGCCTGGCAGAGAGTAAGTACTCAAAAGATATTTTCTGAAGGAGCAAAGGTCTTCACTGTAGAAAGAAACACTCTGACCTCATCTTAAACACACACACACACGTGCACAGACACACGTGCACACACAAACGTGCACACACAACTAAACATAAAATCCAAAACTATAAATCCTATTAGAAAGTGGAAGAAAAGATTCACAATTTCAAAGTAAGCCAAGACATTCAGACAGAATATCAAAGACACAAAGCATAAAGAAGAAAATGAAAAACTGCACCTCAACAAAATAAAAAACTTATGTGTTCTGAAAGACACAACAAAGAAAATGAAAAGTCAGCCATAGACTGAGATCAGATATTTACAGTATGTGTATTTGACCAAAAATATTGATATGAATAATGTACAAAAATAGCCTGTAAATCAATATTACCAAGACAAAAACCCAACTTTTACAAATTGGCAAAAGATTTAAATCAAAGACAGTCACTAAGCATGTTATCTTGCACTTAGTAAAAGTCATCAGGGAAATACACACTAAAGCCAGAGGGGATCCTCAAATATATGTTTGGGGTTTTTTTGTTTTTGTTTTTGTTTTTGTTTTTTTAATTTTAAGATAGAGAAAGAGGGAGAGTGAGCAGGGATGGCAGTGGGGGAGGGGGGCAACATCTCAAGCAGACTCCCTGTGGAGTGCAGAGCCTGAAGCAGAGCTCACAATCCTGAGATCACGACCTGAGCCAAAATCGAGTCAGACTTACCCCACTAAACCCCCAGGAGCCCCTGGTTAATTATGACAAAAGTCACTGGGAAAGAATCATCTTTTCAACAATGATGCTGGGACAACCAGATATCACACAAAAAAGGATGAAATCAGACCCCTACCTCACACCATGCACAGAAACTAACTCCAAATGGATTAAAGATTTAAACTGTCAGAGTTAAAACTATAAAGTTCTCAAAAGAAAATATAGAAGTAAATCTTCCTGATCTCAGATTTGTCAACAGTTTCTTAAATAACACCAAAAACATAACAAAAAATAAACTGGACCTCATTAAAATTAGAACCCTTTGCTTCACAGGAAACTGCACTGGACATAAAAACCCAAAGAATGGGAAAAAATATTCACAAATCATACATGATATGGATAGATGCGATCTAGCCATACAATGGAATATTACTTGATAATTTAAAAAAGTGAAATTCTGGTACACGCTACAACACGGAAGAATCTCGAAAACATTATTTTAAGAAAAAGCAGGCAGGCACAAAGACTGCACGTTGTATGATTCCACTCACATGACATGTTCACAAGAGGCAAATCCCTGGAGACAGCAGATCAGTATTTACCCTGGGCTGGTGGGTATGGAGGGTGATGTAAAGGGTACAAGGTTGCACTCTAGGGTGATAAGAATGTTCTAAATTATGTTGGTGGCTGCAAAACTCTAATTATAGTAAAAAACACTGAATTATAGGGGCCCCTGGGTGGCTCAGTCAGTAGAGCATGTGATTCTTGATAAGGTCAGGAGAGTTTACTTAAAAACAACAAGGGGCACCTGGTGGCTCCATGGGTCAAGCATCAGACTCTTAATTTCACCACAGGGCATGATCTCGGGGTTGTGAGATTCAGCCCCAGTAGGGCTCCAGGCTCAGGGGGCGTCTGCT